AAAAATGATTTCGCAATAAGTTATAGACACGCTACCTACTACAGTGATAATTGTAGAAAGCTAAATGTTTACAGACATGAAAGATAATTTCATGTATTCTGAGAATAATGATAATTCAATTAGAAAACATTTTACATTAAAATATTAGTAAATTAATAAATAATGGGTACTTGAATTGAATTACTTGTTTTTATTGTTTGATTTATGGTGGGTATATTATAGTTTTCTAAGTGATAATTATTAAAATTCTACATTTTGTTCCTTAAATAATTTTACTTACACAAATATATTTTTTACATTTTTTTTTGAACATGGTGTTATAATAGACAAGAAAATAAAGACCTTACAATAAACGTATTGATATACATTAAATGAATATTAATTAATTATGAAAAAAAAATCTTAATTTATGTAATTTTACTAACTTTCTATAACTGCAATTAACAAAATATGCATGACTGGCTTTGCAGCTTAAATTTTTTTTTGGGGTTTGGGTGGTGCTCACGACCCTTAATGTATATTAAAATATAAAATAAAAATGTAACATAGTTTACAAAAAAATTAACTTTAAAACTACAAAAGGATTTATTTAATTTATTAGTTCAACTCATAAAATATAACTATAATCATTATTACAAAATATTCATTTAGATGGTTTTCATGATCAAAAATAGTGAATTTCAATAAAAACATACCAAATACATTCTAACCATTATTTATTTATTCATTAAAATAATTAAATTTGTTTAAATTGAACAAAAGTGTTTAGTCTGTAATATTGACTATACAGTATAGGAACATAAAATAAAGTATTCTTAGTGTTCAGTACTAAAATTTGCAAACTATATACAAAGGAATGTTAAATTTAAAATCATAATTTATTCATCTTCTAAGATTTACATTAACAAACATATTTGCATATAGTGCCTACTTATCGTGAATCAATTCTATTACTAATTTAATTTAAAACGTCATTAATGCTCAGTAGTTGAAGAAAAAAAATATATATAAGAGAAAATAACTATTTTTAAGTATTAAGTGAACTAATTTTAATTACAGATATTAAATATAATATTTACAATTATTGACACACATCATTTTTAATCGCTAAAATAAAGTTAATTATAGTAATAATAAGGTATCTTATATTAGTAATTAAAATACATTTTAAATACTTTAAAAATAATTATGATTAAATAAATGAAATCACACATAATATAATATACTGAGAGCATATAATTAATACATACCAAGTGAAAAAATTAACTATTATATTATTAAGCATCTTAATTTAAAATATTTCAATTGAAAAAATATAATTTTAATAACTTTTTATAAGTCAAGAATTATACTTAAAATAAACTAAATAGTTCAAGATCATATGAAACATGTAAAATAAAAACAAATACATTTTTGGGGGTTTTCTATACAATTTAGTATCTATTAGTATATTATAATTAAGTATATTTTAGATTATTTCTATGAAATTTAGAATGAAAATAATGCTCAAGATTAATTTTTAAAATTATTTAGCTCTATATGTTAATATTTAATTGAACTTGCTACACCCACCAGCTATGCTGCGGCGTCATTAAAATATTTTTAATAAACAATAAATAGTCATTTTTAATTAACAATAAAATATTGTTTTATTTTAGTTTTGTTATCTTTATGTAAAATATTATTTTTTGATAATAAACGTATATAATATATATATATATATATATATATATATATATATTAAAATTATTTAAGACATGAGAATATTTAGATATTTCTATTAAAAGGAAGCTATACCGAAGGTAGAACTATCCGAGGAACTATCTAACTATATATACATGTGAAAATGGAAATCTTAATAACACATGTTCTCCGAAACTATTCATCTAAATATCTTGATTTTATTTACTTTAGAAATAGGTTTTAAACCTATTTCTGATGTTAAAGTTAATGAAAAATTGAGTTATTAATTTTTATAAATAATTGGAAAATAAACATATAAAGATTATTTTTTTTAATCCGAATTATCAATTATTAGTTATTATTAGAAATTAGTATTTTAATGAATAGTTGATGTAGTATAATACTACAAAACTTTTTCGTTGTTTTTGGTTCACACTATTGAAACTTTACGAGCTATTGGTTGTGGGTTTAGAATTAAAGAAAAACCAAATTTAGGTCATTTAAAAAAATTTTGCTGTTAAATGGTCAAAAAAACAACACTGAATGGGAAAACTATGTAAAGTGGATAAGTCAGAAATATCATCTATCACTAAGTCAGAAAATAAAAAATATTAATAATCCACACATTCCACATATGTTATGCTTAATATTAGCAAAAGGTAACCAAATTTAACATGGATGAATTTTGTATGGGCATCAAAGTGCACTGAATAGTTAATACAGTATAAATTTAAAATTGTAACAACATAAAAACAAAAACCGTATGAAACCTACACTAAATATATAGTTATACAGATAATAACTAATAAGTAATAATAAAAGGAATAGTTACTTAACATAAACAGGTATTATATTTTAATAAAAATTAACTTAAATTAAATTATATATTGGGAAATTTAAAATACTATTTAATTTTTGTTCTATGAAAGTTTTCTAATAAATGCACTAAGAATTAAGTAAATATTATAATGTTAAATTTATTATTTATTAATTTAAGATAAATAAGTATACTTGTATTTATAAACAGTTTACTATGTAGATGCTTAATTAAAAATTTCTTGTACCTGCCAATTATAAAAATATTTAAGTTTTTATGTTCACCAAATATAATAGTAAACCACAAAATAAACTAAAACATTTTAAATATCAAAGAAAAATATAAATAAAATGAACAGTAAACATTAACAAATTATCAATAAAATTATTAACCATAACTTTTCTAATATAATACCATAATTTGCTTGCTTGAAGTCAACAAAGCATAAGTGTATTTTTGTATTTCACTAACTACTAAGATAATTTATTGGTTATTGATTGTACAGGTAACTTACTCTGATAGAAAATACAATTTATTTGTTTAAATTTAAACTTTTGTCATTATTAACTTATCGTAGTATATATTATATTGTTTTAATTTTAATTTAATTTCAAGGCTGAAAAATAATGAATTAAAAAGTTAAGCTAATTTTAACTAAGTTCTATCACAAACCACTTTTATTTCATAGTAATTTTTAACATGACAAATTAAATTTCAATTTAAAATTTAAAATATTATTATTCAATTGCCAGCCAACCTAATTAATTATAGTTATATGTTAAGTTATTTTACAAATGGCATGGCTCACATAGATTAATATTCCTTATTTCTTGATAATCAATATTCATTTTATATAATGATTTTATTAAAAAAAATTATATTTATTATAAGCTTGGACTTCGGAAATGCCAGTCAATATAATGTATAAAAATATAACTATAAAAATTCTTTGGCAAATATTAAATTAATTTAAACTTTGGTACATTATTATTATTCTGTATATACTCAATCTAATTGTTAATAATATCTAACACTGTATTCAATATTTATTTATAATAACCATTATTAAAAAAGAAATTTTAATTAATTTATAAATATACATTACATACATATATGTAGACAATATGTATTTATTATACATACATAGATTGTAATATAACTTATAAGTATACGAGAAATTCTACTTTCTTGTTGTTGTTACAGTTGTACACTAGAATATGTATGAAGACTTTTTACCATTTTCATTAGGGACATTAAAAGGTTTATTATTAAATGACAGTTACAAATGGTTAGGTTATGATAACGCATCTCAACTGAATGGAAATATTTAAACCCTTAACTATAATCGGTAGTGTATTTTGTATACCAAACTTTCTATTTATCTTATTCTATTATAGTTCATAATTGTTTTCAGTTATTTTTCTAATCTAACCTTTCCTTATGAAACATAATAATTACAATAGAAATAAATTCCAGTTGTCTTTTCATGTTTGTAGCAGCATAAACAAGTTCATTAATACCTAAATTATTTTTATGTTTGTGAATACTATGCATGTAATACTTTTATCAATTTTAACATAGGAAATGCAAGATAATTTTTCTTTTATTATAAATTTTTATAATTAAACTTAAAACAAAATTAAGAAGCATTTTGTTCTTTTTGAAGTACCTACCTAAATAAAGACAATTAGGTATATACACAACACTATATTGATTTCTGTATATAGTAAATTGGTGAGTAAAATATACCAATAATTGAAAAAAAAATAATGCATATATCTAGTTAAATGTTAAGCAATTCATAGAAAGAAATTTCCAAAAAATTAAGTAATAAATTTAAAAAAAAAATGTATTTATTATTTTGGATTACTTTTTGACTTCTTATATTAGAAGTTCTATATACTAACCTAATAAGAAATATTAAGAAATAATTATACACATTATAAACCTGCATTAAAGTAAAAATAATATTATTAAAAATTACTATGTTTTGTGGTAACAAAAAGAATGTACCAGACTTAATTTTTAAGTGAGTATCTATCAAACTAAATTCTTATTTTGAGTTTTATTTCACTTTTTCAAGTTTACAAAGATAATTAAAAAAAAACAATAAGAAAAAAATTATTGATATCCAACTACCTATAGGTACATTGAGAAATTGAATTTTAAGTAAAATATTATGTTTTAAATTGTTTTCATATTATATTCTTTATCACTATAATTAAAGTACCTACCTAAATAAATCAATAAAAAAAAAAAAATGTTAAAACAGCAATTTTCCCATCATAGGTACCTAAATAGTAAATACAATATAATAACTACTTACCTGGATTTATTAAAATTCAAAAAATGTAATCAGTTCTTAAGACAAATTAATCAATATGAGAGTTCTTTCTAACAAGGTACCTTGTTAACCTATTACCTAATTATTAACTTAAGTAAAATTCTATTTAACAGATAAAAGCTATCATAAGACAAAATATATGTAAAGATAATTTACCTCTAATTGGAAACGGTTTTGTCAGCACTGTGTCTGTAGTTGGAGGTAAATGTCTATAAACTTGATTGTTTTCATCTTTGGGTGGCCAATAATGTTCACTGCACAATTTGATGCAGTCACCATTACTGTAATCAGGTACAACAGTCTTCACTACTGAACTGCAAACGGCCATTACTTCATTAAGTGCTTAGTAACGTAAGTATATGGAGCTATATTTATGATGTATATTACTAAATTATAATACGTGGAAATGTGAAATATTTATAAAATAAAAAAATTCAAACAGGAACCGATTATAAACAAAATAAAAACAAAACAAACAATTAAAAAACAATTTCTCCTAAATCAACAGTGTAATAACTGTTATGTTTAAATTAGAAACCAAAATTTAATTAAAAAAACACCAAACAGAACGTATGGCCTGGACGACTATTGAACCAAAAAAGAAACGGACAGCGACAGTGATGACTGACAAGTGACAAACTACGGTAGACAGAATTAATATTAACTAGTCAATACTAGGTAGTGACTTCACGACAGACGGAACTCGAAAACGTGCTGTACGTCTCGAGTGTTTTATACGAGCTTCGGATGAATGAAAACTATCGATTGATAAGAAATTTGATAACATTTATGGCTAGATATACTGGACGTCATGTACTCGTAGTTTTCTCCACGACTTTGTAAATTTGTGATGTTTGTCAAACTCGTCAGTCTTTTAGAGTTTTAAGTTAAATATATAATAAAGTCATGATTTATCGTACTTCGTTTTCAATTTTTACAAGAACTTACGTTCCGTATAGGTAGATTTTCTGAAAAGGATCAACGGCGAACAGTTGTTTTTATCTTCCATGACGACCGACGGGCCTTGAATCTACACTCCGTCACTCAACCAATGATACTGAATTCAATAGCCGAATGAACCACAGACAATATTAAATATGAATATATAATATATAGGTATATATTCTATAGATATCTAAATTAAAATGTAAAAACATGTTTCTGTAAAAACCATAAAACAGCAAAAGAAAAGAATATTTATAGTATAAATACTATAAATAGATAATATTTTAAAATTAATAAAAAACTTCATTGCGTATAGTAAATTACATAATAAAATAATATTTATAGTTTTAAGTTCATACAAATGTTTTTAAATTAAAATAATTATTATTTTTGTTTATTATTATTAACTTAAGTAATTTCGTCAAAGCCTTAACTTAAAATGTTTATAAAAAAAATATATGCATAAAATATATTATATATTTTTAGTATTTTTATACAACTAGAAGAATAACATTAATCGTGAACTTTATTTAAATTTTAAAGAGTTTTGTCTACTAAATAATTTTTTATCAACATAGGTATATAAAAAAATAAAAAAAAAATTGAAAAATGCTTATGCCTTAAATAACCCAAACAAATTCAAAATATTTTGAAAACTAAACCATGAATAAAAAATGAATAGTGAGATATAAATATTTAAAAATTTTCAAATATCTACAGTTCTTCGTCTTTAAATTACAATTTATATATCATAGAGACAATCTTTAATCCATTATTAACTTTTTATAGGTACTCTGTTACAGACGGATGGTCAAAAGTTTTATGTCCATTCCTAACGTCAATAAAACCGTTTTGAAAAACGTTTCGGCAAACACCTCAAGCGAAAAATAAAGAAGAAATAAAAATTAAAGTCTGATAGATTATATACCTAACAAAGGAAACGGTCACCAAAACATCAAATGAGTAAACGGATTACACATAGGGATGGACAACGACGATGAAGATCTTTGGCTACATGAAAATCGATTCCTGTGCGCGGACCGAACCTCCGACAATAGACATGATGGCCGACCAGGATGACTTAAGAAACAATGGTACCCGAGTCTACAATAATTGAGGACGATAAGGAGATGTCCGTTATTTTTATGGTCACCATCACGAATGGTGCCATTTATCTTTATGCATATACAACCGCAGCAGATAGACGCTGATTTTTGTCGGTCCACCGAAAGAGTCTAAGAAGGGTCTTCAGGACCATATGTCGCAATTAAGCAACGTCGTACTACCGAGATCGGGCTTAGAGAAGTCGAGCTTGACAGATGACGAGGTGGATAAAAAAAGGGTAAGGAGACCGAGAATGCACAACTGTGTAATCTAGCTATATCACGTATTACGCGGACGTGTTGTTGCGGACGTCGGTTGCGGGTGCAGGACGACAGAATTAAAAATAGAGATCGTCTGACCGACTAGTCCGCTTCGATTGCCGATGAGACAGACACGAGGATCGGACAGCGCCACAGATACCGGATGTTTGGCAATGACGGCGGTAGCAGTTGCAGTGACACAGATTCGGGTAAGTGCGGTAGCGGAACGGATGTCCGCGGCACGTTGTAACGCAAGTGACGTTACGACCGGTTGTAAGACGTGCTTGCCGCCGGCTGCAGCGTTTTTGGGCGTATCAGTGCACGGCACCGGGGCGAAAACAACGTATCGGATACAAACCAGTGTAATGGTCCACCGGATTTTCTCACCAGAATCCGTCATCCATTCCAACCGTTGCACTCTATTGCAAAAAGTGCACTCGCACTCACCTAAGTTACCGTCATCGTCCGCCGCCGTCGCTGCCATCCAAGTGCAAGATACCGCACTGGACGCTCTCGCAGTTCGTTGCAATCGCGCCGTCACTATCAGTCGGTCAAGGTCGTCGAGCTCCTGCAACCCTATGTCCAACATTGCCACTCGACCGCCCTGGACCGCGACTGCAATAATGTGAATATAGGTCATAGGATAACCAACGACCATAATAGTTCAAGTCTTACAAACGCCATCAGTTCTCTTCTCCATTTTTTGTCTATCAATTCTGTTACTATAGCTTTTAAATATTTTTAATATTGTTTTTAGTTTATTAATATCTATTTGTTTACTTTTGTATTATATTATGGCTATCATGTTATCACATACAAATATACAATATAATATAAATAACATATTATTTCGTATTTTTAATTTATTCATTTTTTATTCGTATTACATTAACTTATTTCTTACATGTTTCATTGATTGAGTTGAAATGGTTAATGTTTCTACCTAAAAAAAAATTTAGAGATCCACTAGTATTTTTCTATTGTACGATAAGTTTCAAGTGAAGTATCATGACGGTTTGACGTCTAGAAAGATCACTGCAATGGATGTGTTAAACTAGAATTTAAGTCTTTTTTTTTATTTAACTAGAGTAATAGTAGTATTATTAGTAATTTATTATATTATTTGAATTTAATTGTTAATACAATAATATATTTAACTATATATATACTTATATATATATATAATATATATTATATACGAGTACCATATTATATTATTGTTACTAAATTTTCAGCTTATATCTACGTATTAAGAATCTTTTATTAACTTTTCAATACTTATAGTTACAAAAAAAAAAGTTCTAATTATTTTTTAACTACAAAATTGAAAATAGTTTGTAATTTTTTATAATTTTGACAAATAACATTAAAATTTTAAGTAAAAATTCACATAAAAAAAAAAATTGTGCCTATATATTTTTAATATTTTTATATAACTATAAGAATAACTTTTGTAAGAATTTGTATTAAATTCTCAAGAATTTCTACCTAGCAAATAATTTTTAAATGAAATTTATAAAAAAAAAAAATTAAAATATTTTGAAATTTTATGGTTAATAAAAAACAATAATTTAAACGTTTGGTGAAAATTTCGAGTATCTACAATTCGTTTTCGAATTATGTAAAATAACGAAATTATGATGTATTTTTCCTCAAATAAAAAAAAAAAATAAATAAAAATAAAAATACGTTTTTAAATCAATACATTTATAATCACTCCATTCAGATCTAAAATTAAGAAAAAACAGGAATTTTTATATATAACCAATTTTCGACCAAATAAATTTCTTTATTTTATTATTATTCAAAAACCAATAATCGTAAAAACTTAAAGTTTTCACTAAATGTTTTCGAATGTATTATTATCATTTTCTATGTGTGGTAAAGTTTTTAAATATAAATAATAATCAATAATTAATTTTAAGCTATTGATAAATAATTGGAGTTTTCAATATTTTTCTTTTAATCTTTTTTTTATAAATGTCGTATGTATCATTTTCTATACCTAAATAGTAAATTTTACTTTTTAAATGATTTTTTTTTTTTGCTATTTATTAAGTATAGAAAATTTTTGATTTTATATTTTAACTTTTAAGTTTTTTTTATATATATTTTGATAAAAATTTCTTCGCTAGATCAAAATTCTTGAAAATATAATAAAATATCCCACATAAATTGTTCTACTAATATGTGTAAAAAAGTATTAAAAATAAATTTTTTAAGAGGATGGCGTAATTTTAATTATTTCTTAATGGTGCATTGGTGCCACCAGACCTTATTATGGCTCTAATTTTTAATTGAACTACATTTGTATATAGTATATTATATTGTCTTTTTCTATGCCATTATCACTAAGTTTACAACCTATTATTACGATGAGCGCTCGTTTTATCGTGTTATTTTCTTTCCTAAGGCGTACCAAGTAAAAATAATGGCATTGTGCGTACGTTTTGTAGTCTACATTCAACTTACTACGAGCTTAATGCCTTAATATATTACATTTATTCTGATCCATTTTTTTTTTTTTTTTTTTTTGTAGTTAAGATTTTAAATATACTAAAATAAAATTTTCTAGTAGATATTTAATTTCAAATATTTCAATATTAACTATTAAGGGTACAATTTATAGATTTTGGAAAATTGAAAATTGTTATTTAACTTTACAAAAATGATGTAATTGCTATTACGATTATAATTTAGTTTTTTTTATTCATTATCCCAATAAAAAAAAAAAATTAATTTTTGATTCACTGTAGATGTATATAAATGAAAATTTTAATGAATAATTAGTTATAGTAGTACTTTAAAATTCAAAGTTCGAACTGCCTATAAAAATAAGTATTGCGTATCTAATTCAGAATTACAATTTGTTTTTTTTTTACCGAATAAAACTATATATTAAGTATAGGTTAGGTTAGGTGGGAAGACTATATTTATATACTATAAAATATAAATTATTATATTAGTAATTGTTAATAAAAAAAATTTCAATTATTTTTTGCTTATGTCTACAAGAAAAAACTGCAAAAGCCTAAACAAATAATACTCAATATTTTTTTACTACTCAAAATTATAATTGTGGTACTGCCGTACTGGTTACTGGTTACAAGGTTAGATAAATTAGAATACTAATTACTCTATGTTTATTTTCCATAGTATCAGTGCCCTAACTTAGTGTGCAAGAGAAAGAGTAAAACAGGGATTTATTAACCCACTAACAAGTCATTTTAATTTATAAATTAACTTCTGAACTGTACCTACTTATATTATATACAGTACTGACACTGATTATTGTTTATTAAAAAGTGGAAAAAATGACCAACATATATGATATTGTGAAAAAAAGTAACTTTTATTTTTTTTATTTGAAAATAATCACACATTTTTTTTTTTAAAGTTTTCTTAAACTCTAAGAATCTTTAATTCACTAATTGAATTTCTATAAG